ATTTTAGGAAAAAAGAGAAAGAAAAAAATAACACAGAAAAAAGAAATAAACTATTTCCAGAGCATCTCTTGGCTTTCCAGCTTTCCTGCAGAAGCAAGCTGTATGATACAACTGCACGTGTGTACTAGTTGAGGATTGACGTTGTACCACATTCGCCCACTCTCCATTGTTCACGGTGGGTTCTCGTAAAAACGCAGTATTGCAAACCTGCAGTATAACAAAACAGAAGTCAGTATCTGAATATAGAACCATTTTGCCCTCAATATGCCACCAACTGGAAAAACTGAACGCTTTTCAAGAAGAAAGCGGGCTGGTAAAACTCCACAAACCGCAAAAGAGTCAGGAGAAGGAAGTCAGGAATTCCAATAAAAGAAAAATGGCAGCTATGAAGAGCTGAGAGCACGAATCTGGAATATGAATTTAAGAAGAATTTTCAAAAGACACCTGATGAAAGAACCCACCAAGAAGATTTCCTGTGCATTTTTTTCCTGTCCCTTTTCCTGGGACAGCCTTTTCTAAAGCAGTAGTACCAAAGATATATGGGGCCAATCACAGCAGCCTTGGGGAAATACTGTCTTACTGTAACCACAGTGTAAGCATCAGTCAAGAATAGAGGGCAAAGCACTGGAAAGGAAGCAGAAAGAAGACGGCTGTTCTTTTAGCATAAGTACTTTAGCTCAATATATTTACTTTCTTCTTTTTCTGTGAACAATTCTGGCACCCAAGCCTTGATACATAGCAGAGCTCTCATTTCTCTTTCTGCATCCTGGGAGATCAATGCTTAGGACAGAATTAAATTTAGTTAGATTCATCCTGCATTAAACAAGTTCAGGCCCCCAATCCAGGATGAGTTAAGGACACCTTTTAAAGCCAACACTCACATGCACACCACCCCCCCCAACCCGCCTTTCATAGCCAGTGAACAGAGGAGCATCTTTTCTTGAGAAATCCAGCTGAATCCCTGATTCACAGCAGACATGAAACTGCATTCTATGTATGTGAGTTATCTCAAGGAAATTATCTACAGTGGGACAGAGAAACAAACTTTAAAAATACTGCTTTTTGTGACACTCAGCACTTTGGAAGAGCCCATCAGTGGAACCACATGCTGGCAGGTGTTCTTTCTGCACATCCAAAGATTGGAAAGGCACTACAGCAGCCCACTGTCAGTGTTCAGAGAGGCATTAGCTTGAACCATGCAGCATGATGGCTTCACTAACATCACCATGCAGCCAGTTGCATTTCCCGCTTGTCTACAGCCCAGAGCCTCAGGTGCCTAACTCATGCTGTGGGCATACCACAATGGGACTGCTCGCTCCACATTAAGCTCACATGTAAATACAGCCCTGGGAATCCACGTCTACGCAGGACCTAGCAGAGCATCTAAAGAATGGCAGACTGTACGCGTGAGCTTTTTTTTTGTCATTTTTATTTGAACACAGTATTCTGACAGAATGCAAAGTCAAAATCCTCAGTTAGTATCAGTATTTACACCAGTGAGAATGGGAATAAAGGTGGAATCGATGTTTCACTTGGTAAAAAGATTTTTTGTTTTTTCGTTTTTTTAACAAGATAGAAGGCCCCCAAAAGTAGGGAATGCTGGGTAAGGATGTCAACGGAGGGTCTGAGAACAACTATCAAAACAGCCTACTGTGAAAATCTGGGGTTTGAAGGCTCCATAGAAAAGTGTGAAAATAAAACTCCACTCTAAAAGCTGAACAACTGGATGCACTATTATCTTATCAACTTTACGTATGGTGCAGCATGAAATGTAATCACTCCACAACTAGAAGCTGATCAGTCTGCATTGCCATATAGATATATATGTATGGCATGGATACATATATAAACATATACAGCGTAAATGGCATCAGGTTGGTCCCTCTTCAAAGGTTTAAATAAAAGCAATGATGCCTAAGCTATCTTGGAAATGGAGTACTACTAAATTAAAACAAATTATTCTCCATTGAGGGAGAGTATAAAACCACTCTCCAGAATTAATCTACAAGTATTGGGAGGTGTCATGAGGACATTAAAAAGGAGTTGAATGGACACCCCCAGTGTTCAGGCAATCACAGGGTTCACTTCTGCCTTGGAATGGTGCCCACTCCATCGATCTCGACACAAACCCACTGCAGTCAGCAGGGTACTTTCTAATGATGCAGCTGGGTGTTGGATTGGGCTTTCAGCTGGTTACCTTTTGTGACAGAAATGGCAAACCAGGTGATAGTTACCACAGTTTTCACACAACAGGTGCTGACCAGTGTCACTGGACATATTTCTGGTCATTAGCATTGTACAGCATTTGTTTCCTATCAGCTGCTCAGCTCTCAGTGGGTTATAACTCAGGAGGTATAACATACAGATGCCAAAAGCAGTCAAAAAACTTGCAGAAATGAGGAACAAATTGTTGTAGTCATCCAGGGGAATGGAGGTACACACTGCCTGCCCACTAGTCCTCTGCTGCCTCAAGGACTCTCCCCAACCATAGACAGACCATGGTAGCTTTTTGTGCTGCATTCTATGGATTGATTCCTTAGAAAAAAAAAAATCCTAGAGACTGTGGGCCAACCTTCCCCATAGCTAACTGCTGTGACGGGTCATGCAAGGGCCGAATTTGACATAAGGCTTTGAAGTAAGGACCCATCCTGCCCTGATATCCTGCTCAGGATGGATATTGCATGAGTGCCTATGCCTGCATATCCTGTCACCCTCCATTTGCATCCCAGGAGCTAAGGAAAAAATGCAGAAAACCCCACACTTCACAAATGACAAGACCATTATTTTTCACAGTCTGAAATTATGTGATGGCACTGTAAAAGACTGCATACTTAGAAGAACACACCAATTAAAGTGGCTCAATTTACCTGAGCCAAACTGCAGTCTGCCCACCCCCCATCATTCTTCTGTTCATCATTAGCGCAATGGAATGGATGCCATAGTCAGCTCGGTTTGATTTTTCATTTAAAGGCTTCTGTTCCTTGTAAGAGTTGTTCTCTTTTTTTTTTTTCCTGAATATTTTTTTTTCAAATCTGAACTATCGCTACACCTTCCACATCCAAACTATGTTGAAGCTTTTATTATTTCAATACTATGACAAAAAACACGTTTCACACTAAAATAGTCACGCACCCACAGTGCACAAGCTTGCAGATCTAAAGTAGAACAAAAAAGAAAACAAAAGAAAAAAAAAAGAGGAAAAAAAAACCAACAGAAGGAACATCTCTATACAACGGGCTGGTCTTCCTCTATTTACCTCTGCCTTCCTTCCGCTCAAGCCTCCTTTTCTTTTCACCACAAAATCTCAGTATTACTCCATGACTCACAGTGACAAGCTCCCCCCTCCATACACTACATCAGCCCCCTTTTCCAACTGTTAACGGCACAACGCCAAGACAAGCGAAATGAGTGGGAGTCTTGGCATTGATTTCCAAGCACTTGCTCTTGCTGTCATGGTTTTGATTCGGCAGAGCATACATGGATGACTCAATACACGATGTGACTGAATATAATAGAATAGCTCAGTTGCAAGGGACCTACAACGATCATCTAGTCCAACTGCTGATGGAGCTGGCTTTGCAGGAAGGGTCTTGCATGCTGACAAGCACCCTTGTGCAAAAAGTCTTTGCTTTTAAATCAGATTTCTAGGGTTAAAGGAGATGGTATTTACTGACATACTAAGGAGGAATTGATATAGTCAAACATCTGAGATGAGACCAGACCAGCCCTAACTGTACAATCTCCCTTCTGCTTCTCAAAGCTCCGGGAAGGTTCCATGAAGGAAAGGGGAGAATGTCCTAAAAAAGCAGAGATTATATTTCTCTTATGCAGTCAGGCCCAGGTCCAGCAAGGGACTTAAACTCTTACTAAATTTAAGCATAGAAGGACTCTCACCAGCAATTCTGTCATTCCAAGTTAAGCATGTGTTTATGTAGATTGCTGGATAAAGGCCCTGATTGGTGACAAGTGGTTTGAATACCCCCCACCCACCCAAGAAAAAACCAAACCAAAACCCAGCATTACTTTTCTTCTTACTCCAGTAAGAAATAATAATAATAATTATTATTATAATAATAACAATAATTAAGAAAAGATAAAGGGGAAACAACTACTGTAAACATCCATCTTTTAAAATGTCTCCCTTTGCAGAGCAAGCATGCTGCTAACCTAGTATCTATAGACTGTATTTACTTTTAAAAAAAGGCAGCTATTTTACACATACATTTAAACGCAACAAAAATAATAAAAAAAATATTTGTCAATTGTAAACACTGGAAAGAACAAAGGTTGGCAAAAATTAACATAGAATTTAAAGAAATGTTGAGTCTGAATACTGCAAATTGAAATATATCCCCGGAGCTGCAATTTTGGCATTCTTCCTAAAAAAAGATAGTTATAAAACCCAACTAAATGTCTAACGTGGAGAACAGAATTCAGTCACAAAGAGCTCAAGACACTTTGCGAAATTATAACTTATTTATGAGGCTTTACATATTTGAAACTTGACTGAAAAAGTATAAAAATAAATTGTGGACTTTGTTCATTAAGTTCCAGCTGTACCAAGTAGTACAGTGGCTATATCTGCTATACTAACGAAGGAAAGAACAGGTTCTTGGTTGTTTTTGTTTTGTTTTGTTTTTTGTTGTTGGTTTTTTTTTTGGTCTAGGACTAGTTGATTGAGCTTCCCAACCACGTTCCATGTTGCAAATGGTATTTGCAATTTTGCTTATTTGAATATACACAGGGTCAGCCAAGCCCTGATTTAGTTAGGGGTTTAACCCTGTTTTTAAAATGTGTTACTTTTTAAAGCAAGTGCACAACAAATAGAACCTTTCTAGAAATCTTAAAAAAAAAAAAAAAGAGAGAAGAGAAGAAAAGAAAAAAGAAAGATGTCCCCCCTCCCCCCATTTATGCATTTTCTGTTTTGTTTGTTTTTTAAAAAAAGGCAACAGACACTAGAGGAATGAGATGTGTGTTGTGTTTTGTGTTTTAAATGCTCAGGTGGAGTTGTTCTGTCATTTGTTTTCATCTGTTGCTGATCATGCTTTGCTCTCATTTTCATTTGTTTGTGTGGCTTCATTGGGGACCGTCTTGACTTCTGCTGGAGGTGTTTTAATTTCCGTTGCTTGCACTTCAGATTTGTCTTTTACTGGGATTTTCCTGAAAAACAGTCACCAAAATCACACAGTTTAGAAACAGAGAAATATAGACTGTTTATTGATGAATTAGTGATAAGGAAAGAATATGTTTCTGGAAACAAGAAAATATATTGCCTTGCTAGAGCAAAATGAGCATTTCCAGATGCAGAAATAAGCGAAACAAACCCCACCTCCCACCACAGCTTCATTTAGCTCTAGTAAAATCTTTTTTCATTTTCCTCCTGCCCCGAGTTAACATACTAGTTGGACGAGGGCTCAGGCTGCAGCAGAGGCACAAGGCGTGTTGTGGTGTGAAAAAAGGAGCAAAAGGGAAAACTCACATAGTTGCAAAGGAATTTGATTTTACTGTCACTCATGTCACTCAAACGTCCTATTAAAACAGACTGCCATTTTAGCAGAAAATCTTTTTCCC